ATATATATATATATATATATATATATATATATATATATATACAGAGAGAGAGAGATTGATATATATATATATATATATATATAGAGAGAGAGAGAGAGAGAGAGAGAGAGATTTATTGTAGAAGTTGTGGAGGACAAAGCGCGTTGGCGATAGGCTTTTTCAGGGTTCTCCCTTTCCCCTGCCCATTATTCCCCAGAGCTCCATTATAATTGATATAGTTTTATCAAAAACACATACCCATCAAAGTATTTCCTAAGCTCTCGGGCTTGAGAAACAGTTAAGTACAGGTATCATAACAAAGATAAAAACAATGATGATCCCTGTGAAATGCCAGACATAAAAAGGCGACTTTCCAATAATACTTCTGGAGCTCTTCAAAGACTTCAGAATTAGTCCCCTACATCCTTATATGTTATAGCTAGACATACAGCTCAATACAAATACAGAGGTACATGGTATTTACGTCTTTAAAGAAGCTTTTTGCGGCGTGCTAGGAGACCCCGCTAGAACTGCTTTGCTGTGTTCACCCGCCTGACGGCCCAGTGTGGGCGCGTTGCGAGGTCGGATGGCTGCGCGTGAGACCACCTCTCGATCGACCGACAAACGGCCGCTCCCCGTCCGGACTCGCAGTTGTTGAGACTTCCGGTGCACAAACTCCGTTCTCCAGCGCCCCCCCCCCCACTCGCAGCGCGCCTTCGCTGCAGACTGGACCGACTTCCGCCGATTAACCCCTCGCCTCGCCGGGGAATGCACCGTTGCGTGGGTTTCCGTTGTGGCCTGAGGTGGTCGCGGTTTATTTGATTGTCCGCTGATGGCGTTCCCAGAGTTATATTTAGAATGCGTCATCACCTCGTCTTATTCCTCAAATATCATATAAACCTTCATTAATTGCTTGTTAGAAGGAGTTTACTTAAGTAAAGGGCAAAAACAATTATTTAAATCTTCAACTTATCGGCGTTTTATTAAGCCTTCTTCAAGGCTTTAATAAAACAACTGATCTCGTGTAACGACCAGGATTAATCACCAGCCTTTATTCTGTATACAACAATCAATATTATCCTCATTTGAAATAATGTTATTTATCAATTTCTTACATCACATTCCTGTGTCTAGCAATCGCTACCCTGCTTACCCGCGTTCGTATAACGCATAAAATGCATCGTCTACGTAACCACATAGTGGCGTTCGTTCATACAAACTCTAGTACGAAATGACCGGCATCATGCACATCCTTCAATATGATGAATGCGGCGTCGTTCATTCTATTGATGTCTGACTACGGCACAGAGTTTCCGTTTCTGTGAACAGAAAATCATCGATTATACCATCGTACATCATTACATTAACCAAACAAAATACACTTGTAGCGAGAAATTACGTTCCAATAAAATATACAGTGAAATCTGATTTAAGTGCTGACCAATGGCTCCGGCTAAAATTGCAAGTAAATACAAGTGGGCGTTTAATCAAGGTTATGAGGTTACAGGAAGCGTAAATCAAATATAATTGTAAAAATTGCTATGAAATGAGTACGATCCCTTCAGCACTTTTAATTACTTTGCAAGACAA